GACAGGCCTGGGCTGGGGGCCGGAGTGGCGGCCACCACTTCGGGATTCACAGGGACCTGCCCTCCTCCCTGGAGCTGGAGGCCTGTTTGTGTGTTCCGGGGCACAAGCTTGCCCCTGCCGAGACTGAGGCCCCGGCTGGGCCAGCTGTCCTGGGTGCCAGCGGGGTTTGTGTACTCTCTCCGCAGCCCTGGATGGAGGTCTGGCCCTTGGAGGACGGCTGGGAGTGCGCACCCCAGTTGCCATGTCGCCCTTCTCTCGAGGCCCAGCTGCTGTCGGGCTCCCTCCTGTCCACTCCCGATGAGGCAGCCACGCCCGGAGCGGTCAGCCAGGACGCGGAGCGCCTGCTCTATCAGTGTGAGCGTGTTTTGCTCCACCAGGAGGCACTTTCACCAACACCAGGGCACTTCCCCTCGGATCCAGCCCTGGGTGGGCTGCCCCTTGGCTCAAAGACCTTCCATAGCTCCCACGGTCCACTGAAAAAACACACAGCTTCTCAGCCCTGCACAGAAGCCTTACCCACGCTGCCACCCTCGGGCCCGCCAGTGGCCCCCGCCACAGCCCCCGGGTGCAGTGGGCCTTCAGTGGTCAGCTGGAGGAACAGGAGCACATCTGACAGCTGCTGAGCACGGCTGGGCAGAGCCCTTTACAGAGGAGCCCCTCTGCTCCTGAGAGCCTGTGTGGATCCTGCTCGCGTCCTCGCTTTATGGAGGATGTGGGAGGGACAGGGCTCAAGCCATGTGCCCTGCAGTACCGGTCACTGTGGCAGAGCTGGGTGCCAGCTCCTGAACCCCCAGCTCAGAGCACCCTGCTGCGCTGCCTCTCTGAATGGGTGGATGAACAGAGGGGTGATGGAGGGAGAGGAGGAGAGAGGGGTACATGAATGAATGAATGGATGGGTGGAGGGAGGGACGGGTGGATGGGTGGATGGAGGGATGGTGGAGGGAGGGACGGGTGGATGGATGGAGGGAGGGATCCACCTGTCTACCCAAGGAGCAGATCGCCCGCCCGCAGGCGCCGGCTGCCTGAGCCCGCCACGCCGCACGCTGCCGCTATCCCCGGCCAGGCACCTCACAGGTATCCACCGCATCCCCCGCAGCAGCCCTTCCAGGTGGGTGCCCTCGCCATCCCCATTTCACAGGCATGGAGAGAGCACGTCCCGTGCCCAAGGGCACATCGCTCCGGGGCAGAAACCGTGCCCCGCAGAACTCCTGGGCCCAGTCTGTGCTCCTCCTCCTGACGTGCCGCGGCTGCTCCCGCACACGCCACCCAGGGGAGGCCTCACCTGCCCGGGGGGGGGCAGCGCTTAGCGTAAAATAATCGGCACCAGCACAGTGCTGATGCAGGCTGTGCCCGATCCAAAAGCCCCAAATCTGAACCTGCGTGAGCACCGACGTGACGCGACTAAAATGCCAGTCTGACCTCGGGTGGCGGGTCGCGGTCGAAGGCTGCACGTACCACACAAGGCTACTGGAGGCGCCCGGCGTGTGAGACCCAAGGGACTTTCATGCTCAGACTTGGTCCCAGCGCAGATAGCGCGCTGTCTACCTGCAACAGCCCCCAACCTGAAGAACCCCGAAGAAACCGGGAATCCAGCACTCCGGATAAGGGATCTCGGCCAGGGCAGCCGCCGACAGGGCTGCCAACACTCAGGGTGCTTCCCCGCAACAGACGCCGAGTTCTCCGTGGTCACCAAGCCTCTGGAGCCTCCCGTGGCCTCCTGGAGGACGGTCCCACCCCCCACTGTGAGGGAGAGAAAACCGAGGCTGGGGGGGTTAGTGCACCCTGTGGTCATGGGGGCTCCAGCCCAGTCCTGCTCGACCTGCCCTTGTTATGCAGCCTGCTGGCGTCTGCAGCACTCTGCCCAGGCACCTGTGTTTAGGGGTCCCTGGGGGCAGGGGAGTCAGGCTGTGGGGTTCCCACGACCTTGGACTGGAGCCCTGGGGTGTATGGGGGGCAGAGGCCGGGAGGAGGGCCACTGCAGAGAGAGAGGTGGGGGAGGGGGTGCCCAGGATGGTCCTGTGCTGGCCACCCTGGACTCGGGGTACACAGGAGCACCGGCTCTGATGCCCCCCCCCAAGCGCTCCTTGCTCCCAGGGTCTCAGCAGGTGTGACAGCAGGTGCTCCACACTCTGCCTCCCGCCCAAGGAAACAGGAAGTCCCCCAAATCCACAAGACAGGCAGGTTGTGCCCGAAGCCTTCAGAGCTCCGGGGACGAATTAGGGGCCTATCTGGAAGGGAGCAGGGACGACAAAAGGAGGGGATAGGCAGGGAGGGACCCACCACCGCCTCAGTCCTGGCTGCGGGGGGCTGGATGTTTCACAGCTAGGGAAGAAACCTCTTGGGGAGGCTGGAAGGGCATCCTTCAACTCCCTGCAGGGCTCAAGACAGGTCCGAGGGGGCGACGCTGTCCCTTCCCACCCGCTGTGCACTCTGACCTCCGCAGCCAGCTCACCCTCTCTGGGCCTTGCCAGGTCGTGTGAAAAGGCAGCCCGAGGAGGGGGCAGGCGGGAGCCCTGTGGGAGGGGAGCTCTGCGGCCCCCGTGCCTGCGTATGTACGAAGAAATACACAGCCTTGCGATTAAGAGCACGCCTCAGTCACATCACGGGTTCAGAACCCACTTCAGGCCTAGCTGGGCCTCAGTTTCCCCGGCTCTAAAAATGACAACGCTCCAAAAGTGTACTCTAGAGGAGAGGAAAGAAGAAGAAAGGAGGAAAGGGAAGAAGAGAGGGAGGGGGAGAGAGAAAAAGCGGCAGACCCC